CAGTAATTTTAGGGCAGTAAAACTGGTCTGCATAGTATTGTAATTTTGGATACGAGATGTGATGCATTTGTCAAGTCCCAATGAACTGTACAGCACAAGAAGTAGGCCTTAAGGTAGGCAAACTTTTAAAAGCCATTTAGGAGATGGGGGGTCCCAGGGAGAAATACAGATGGTGGTGAGAGAATCAAACTGCATTACACATGCATGAAACAACCTCACCGAAGGGCACTGGAGGTCAAGGTGTTGCTCCAGGTGCCTTTGGAAATGAGACGAGTCTGTGCAAGGTGGAGGCACTGGGAACTGCATATGAGCACTGTACTCTAGTGGATAAAGTTGTTTCCCACGAGGGTACAGGTTGACAATTCTGATACTGCTATATATGTATACTGGGATGAAAACATCATGTAAATCGTGGGAGACATTGGGAGTGGAAGTTTACAGAAAGCAAAGGAAGGAAGTTTTTTAAAAAGTAGGAAATGCGCACAATAATATGTGTGAACAGCTTTGTATACTAATTATTATTTACACGTTTACCTATACCCTGAAGGTATTTTTCTTACATACAAAGTATTATTTTCCCATTATTGCATGCATAAGTTGGACCATGTACATCGAAGGTGAGGGACTAGTCCAAACAGCTGACAATATTTTCAGATACAGCTCTTAACAAATATGTTTATATTCTGAAACGATCATTTAATTTCCCTAGACAGATTGTGTTCCGTGGTCTGCAGAGGCTGTGTATACCAGAGCAGCTGAGTATAAGTACATAAAGCAAAAGAAACAGGTTATTTAGAAAATAAAGCTTAAAAATATAATATTGACTGCTCCTAAGTGACACCAAAAAGAGCAGAGAGAAAGTAGATAGAAAATGGAAAGTTCTAATTTGGTTTGGGATACAGCTAAACACCTGGCTGCTTCCAAATACTCATACTTTTAGCATAATATAGATGGAGCATCTGGATATTTGAACTTTTCTCTTTCCAGCTGATGGTGTTGAGATGGTGTAGACATAGGCAGGTCCTCAAAGTTAAATTATTTCCAAATGCTTTTAATGGCATTTAATTAAAAATAAAATTCCATTCAACACCACCCTCTCCACTTTCTTTTATGTCTCCCACTTTTCATATCTGCAGGGAGTAGGGGGGAGGGTACCAAAAAGGAATCCTTCTCCTTCCCCTCACATCATCAGAAGGGCTGACAACAGCATACACAGAATCCGGGTTTCAGACACACTGTTAACGTGCCTCAATACACTGGCTGATCGTTTGCCACAGAGTGAAACATTGCTCCATTTAAATCAAACTTCCTGCCTATGAATAGCTATGAAACACTAGAACATAGTATTACTATACCAATGAGGTATTAGGTCTGTTAAATCTTTTTAAAATGAGGCAAGACACAAATACATACTTAACATAACATTGCAGAATCTCCCTTAACAAGTTAAATAGTAAAATCAACAGTCTCAATTGATTTGAAGATAGCAATGTGGACCAAGTGAATTCCTAAGAATCCTTCATATGCCATGATTCCATCATTTTACTTCTTCAATTTAAGTCCAAACGTTCCTTCATTGCCTTTGTACTGACAGCACAATATTTCTTGGAGTCATTTATGTACATGATGATTTTCTGCTTACCTCTAGCATGCCCCTGTTCTCCCTCCACCCCACCCACACAAATACACGCAGACATGTGTACAAATGGTTGCAAACACAGTAGTTTGGGATTTGGGGTGCAAAGGAAATGAGCATCACATATACACAGACCTTACCTTCCTCCTTGTCTTTCCTTCCTTTCTTCCTTCCTTATTGTGTGACCCATCCATCATCCTATACAAATAGACAGATGAAAACATATCTTTGTTTTGTCTTAACTTGCAATTCTTTTCAGATTCTTTGTGTGCATGTCAAAGAAAAAACATGGTACCAATGGGCAGCATCTGATTCGCCAGGACATTCCTCCTGCCATGATGTAGGGCAGGGAGAATGTGGGTGATGGGATCCAGATGCAGGGCTGCCCTGGCCGTCATGCAGATGTGCTTTATACGCACATGCCCAGATGGTGACCCCTCTGGCATTATTAATGTGTCCCAGCTGCCAGGCTTCCTCTGTTGCCTGCATGGACCTCAACTTCACATATTTCATGTGTTTATTTATGATGCACAGCATTCCCACATTTCATATGTGGCAGTTACTTTTAAAAATGGGAAGTTTTAACTGCTCTGGAAATTGATAAAGGATCTTTTTCTTTATTTTAATTGTTGTTCAAGTACCGTTTTCTGCCTTTTACTCCCAGCCCAGACCACTGCCTCCCCGCAAGTGATAATCTTTTATATTGCTATGAAATGTGGCCCTCATTTCAAAACTACTTCTCCATAAAATTGTTGAATTCATAATGCAAATTTCTGACCTTTCCCCTTGGATGTTGAGAAAATGTGGTGCTGGGTTGATACCTTAAAGATAATTAAGAAATTAAATATTTGCATACAGAATACAGTATAATGATTTTTTTTTGCTTTCCTTTTATTTCTGTTCTCCAAGGCCTACTTTTTAAAAGTAGCATATCTATACATTTGAACATTGCTATTCTCCATTAACTAAATCCAGGCATCAAGTAAGAGAAATTTGGGATCTTTTAGAAATAGGTTGTATTTATAAATCCACAGGGAAAGAACTAGCTTTATAAATAGTAGTCTAATCGTCACTTCAAACTATCATAGATTGTGACTCTACTGATTTGAGGAAGTGGATTATTCTAGTAAAATTTGACTTATAACCTGAAGTATAAAATATAGGAGCATGGTAGTTGCAATGAATTAAAATGAACTGATTCTTAATTTTTTATTTAAAAAAAACTTCAGCATGTTTCTGGGGGAAATAAAAAGATGAATCAAATTCTTAAAATAAAAAGGTGAGAAGTGCAAATGATAGGTGGAGTTCATGTCCATTTCCTTCTTTGGTATCAGAAGTAATGAACTAAAAAAATTTTAAAACCTATGATATATCCTAGCTAATTGTCACCATTATGAGCAAAAAGGAAATGAATGACCAAAATGCTGATGAGATTTTTAAGGAGCTGTACACTTTTAGCATCCACAGTGGATGGTCCAAGTGCCAGTGCTAAATGCCAGAGGGAGCAAATCTTGTCTTGGTTTGCTCGCAAGTGCTCTCTGGACCTCAGGAAAACGATTCTCCTTCCTTAAGGAAAGCCTGTTGTTCCTATTTGATTATCTGTATCTATTTATATCTATACCCGTATATCTAACTTCATAAGTAAAGGTGCAACCCCATTCATCAGCTTTGACCATACCACAAAGTAGGGTGGAAAATTAAAGCAATTACCTGACTAATTCAGGCAAGAATAAAGAATATGTACCCTGAAAGTACTGCCTGGAATTCAAAAACAAAAAGCAGGTTATAATACGTTATATCTTTAGATAGTTACTTCAGATTTGCTCCGTGCGTGGTTTTGTTCAAGGGCATAAGTATAATAACAACTGTGCACTGTTCTCTGAAAGATTTAGAGCAATCTAAGGTTTCAGATCCAGGTGATATGTCACGATAAAGCAATACAAAGCAATAAAGCAATAAAAAGAGAATGAAAAGCCTGGGAAATGTCTTCTTATATGACACGGATGGAAGAATGGCTGTGACTTTGCCTTCTTCATTTACATCTTCAAGTCCTATCAGATAATTTTGGTTAATGACCTTTAGACTATTATAACCAAGATCTTATTAAAAGACCCAAAAGTACATCCACAGATTCTTTTTTTAAAGCCACCTCCTTTTATCACAAATATGAAGAGAATCAAGAAAACAAACAAATGACACCAGTCTTTTTTATATTCAAATGACAAACAGAGCCCAACAATTATTTCTACATCATTGGCAGACATAATTAATCGATCATGATACTCTACCACAAAACCAAGACCAGGTCTATTAGAATCCTCCTCAACAGAGTATTGCCAAGGGGAACCACCAAAGTCTGCACCTGAGACAAAATGTCCTCGCCATTCCCCTCTCACACTGGTGCTGAGCAAATAACAGGTGGTCAGCCTAGATGTAATGACACATGAAAGCCCAACAATTACTGCTATTCTTAAACCTATCCACTTTTCACGAGAGTGGCAAATAGCTGGTATTAGGCCCGACCTAAGGAGCAGAAGTGTCAGTCACTGTGGTGCTGTAACAAGTCATGCACCCATAGCCCATCAGTGCAGCCTCCTCTCTGCCACGCGGGACTGAGGCCGACCAGCTTACAGAGCCATCCAAAGGCTGCTTGGGTTCAGGTCATTGGTCCAGGCCACATAAGATTACACACAGGGAACAACAGGAAATGGTCCGATCCACATCTTAGGTTTGCCAGGAGAAGGTACCACAAACCAAAGAGGAAAGCCAAGAAGCAAATCTAACAGTCAGGCCTGAGGTAACCCCAGAGTTGGGATGCAGGGCTTAATCCTGCAGGTGCACGGACACCACAGACGGAAGTGGTCCCAGAAGCTGCCCAGAAGCTGACACCACTTCCTCCCCTGAGATCACTGCATTTGCACACGTGCAGCATAGTGACAGCAGCCCCTGAGCTCCACAGAGGACTGCTTGCAGAGCTCGTTCCCAGCCGTCATCCCCACCTCAGCACAGGCAGGCAGGGCAGGCAGTTTTCTCCCATTTGACAACCCAAAGGAGGCTCGTTTGTCCAAAATCACAGCCGTTGATGTCTAAAGTTGCTTTCATCTGAAATATCCAAAAGAAATCAGGTGTCAGAAGCTGGAGAGTTTGGATAATTTCCCACTCGAATTTTCAGATAATTGGGCCCATCCACTCCAGAACTGTGCACGTTCAGAACAGTTTGTGGTTGGGTGATGAGCCAGCTGAGTGTTACCGGCGGGATGGGCGAGGCAATTCCCCCAGAGTAGCCGCAAGTCGTTTAATAACGCACATGCCCATTCTGGGCCCTCAGTCATTGAAAGAGACTTTCTGTTCATTTCTCTAACAGCTGGTGACCCTGTTGCAGATGTGGGTTGTCCCTTTGTATTTCACGATAAAACTTTACTGGTGGCGGTTTCTGTCCATGTGGGGGATGTTCTCAGTCATTACCAGTTACATCCTCTTCAGAGCTACCCGAAAGCCCCTCTCCGGGAGAACGCCGCGGTAGGTACCCCATTCGACTGCACTCTGCCATCCCCTTCGTGTAAACACTAAAAAGAAGAGCTAATTTCCATTTTCCTGGGTGGAGGAGGAGGATGCCTTCGGCAACAACACTATTTGGAGATTTGCTAAGTTGTGGTTAGCTCACAATCATTATTGAACGGTGACTCAGACGTGCCTGTAAACTGCATTACTTTAGATATTAGCAGCTGAAGGCCAGGAGAAACAGAAGTGAAACTATTAAGTTTCTAGAGCACTATTTGCATGTTTATTTTTAACACAGCATTTTGTTTGATTCCACTAGAGATTGTCACACACATTTTATAGCAGAGCAAGAGTTAGAAGTCTGTATTTCTAACAACTATGCGTGATAGGTATATATATGATAAATCATAAAAAACTGACAACTTATTACTCTCATAATAAATAAGGCTTTAATATTCCATTGATCAGTTTAATGACCATGCCAGCCTCTTAATATTTATATAATTCCATTATATTATTCACAAATCTTTCCAAAGTGCTTATAATGTGCCCACAATTGCCCTCACTGTCCTTGTTGTTTAGACAAGGTCTGAATCCAAATCCAGATAAAACTGAAATGGGATTTTTAAAAAATACATAAAGTGTCTAATGGCAATAAGAAAATGTCAAATTTTGATCTGCATTGGAGAATAAGTCATAAACAACTGTGAATTATTTTAATGATTATTTAGCCATTCAGACGTTTGTTTTTCTCTAAAAAAGTGGCAGCGATGAGCCAACTTGTCCTTTTAATATGGAGAAGGAAAAATATACACTGAATGAAATCAGATTGACAAGTATAGTGATAAAGACTGAAATTCAAATAAATGAATTCAGGCTTATGAGTACTGTGGTTTTATCCCACTTGGGGAAGTGTTTTCGGGGGTGCTAGGGGACCTTCCACACTGGCCGGTTTGAGGTCGTGGCCTTGGTAGGGCCCCGTTTCCCATCAGCACAGAGACAGCTGGCATGCTTCCTCCTTCTCACACAATGTGTAAGCTCTGTAAGACTTGTGAAGTGATCTCAGTTTTGGATGAATTGAAATGTACTTCTTTTCATCCCCTGATTAGAATCTATGTTGTATTTTAATGAAAACAGTTCACTTTTCCTCTGTATAATGAACTACCCTAGCTGAACACAGTCCTTCTGTGCATATCCACTCCTGCAGTGCAAACGAACTTCACTACAGGAAATACCCAAAATGCTGCCTCCTTAGACCCCTGACTCACACATCTCAGATGGCTGGGGCCCCAAGCCCTTGCTTCTCATGCCCACAGTGAACCACCTCAGCTTCTTCCTGCCTGCGCATCTCTGAGCCCTGTGATATCGTCTGACAGCCAAGACACTCCACTCCCATTTTAAGCAGAGCCAGCTGCCATTTGAAGAGAAGCAATGGATGAAGCTAATTAGGACCCCTTGTCTCCCAGAAAAGCAGCAAGGAAAAAGAAGCTCATATTGATAAGAGGCAGTGTCCCTAATGATCTTTATGGATCTTTGCTTAATTACCATATTATAAGCAAGTAAGTCACTTCTCAGCAATTTTCCATTTGGAAGTGGAGGATTTCATTACAAGCTAAGAAAGCTGGTCCAGCAGACGTGCATGGTGCAGTAGGCAATCCCAAGAGGAGTGGTCTCCGGCACCAGCGTAGTGTAAACGCCAGCTGTTCTTCCCCCAGGGCACACCAAGCCCTGGCTAAGGGACAGGGTAGCAGTTAAGGAGAAGTGCGTTTCCTCTCTACCACAGTCCGGTTGTCCATAGAGCAACCGGACTGCATGTTCAGGCTCAGAAATAAGCCACTCACAGCCACAGATGAGAGCTGGGCCTCATCACATCCTTTCCAACCCGAGGCCAGCCTTTCCCTTGTGGACATTGCTCTGAAGCGTGACCACAGTTTCCTTTCTGGCTTACCTGTAATCAGGTTAGCAAGGGCGTTCTGGGCTCTAGGAACCTATATCCCCCATAAGAAGGAAGATTTGGAGGTGACATTTGGAAAATCTAACATATCCATAAAAATAAGATGACATATTGAGAATTTAATGTGCCAAGTCTTTTAAACAACAATACACTATCTCAGACAGCCTTCAGAACTGCTTTAGGAGCTGGGGTTATCATCCGCCCACTAGAAACGAGCAATCACAGGAAGAAATGCTGAGTCAGTCGGCCAGGGTCCTGCATGCAGGAAGCAGCAAAGCCAGAATCAAGCCAAGGAGAAAATATGCTGTGGCCTAATTATATCAACAAACCACTTTGCACGGAGAAACCCTGCAGTTAAAAAGGCTACTGGTCAGGAAGACCTCTAGCGCTGGCACCACCGGGAGAGGGCCCTTCGGGTGGAGAGCGAGTGCTCGGAGTGCATGCGGAGTTCCAGGAACCCCGAGCCGGTGCCGCCGGTGCTGTGGGGTGGAGAGGGAGGTCCTCTCGGAGCTGGCCACTTGTCCCATCCTCGCCCCTTTCAGCAGCACAAACTTCCACCTCCATCTGGCTGCACTGAGCAAAGATTCAAGCAGTTGGCCATGCCCGATCAAAAGTACCAAGCCAAAGGCCAACCCTGGCCCCTGTAGAGATAACACAGCCTCACAGCGATTTGAGCCACCTCATGGGAGCTCCGGCTCCGTGTAACTCATGGCTGAGGCCTCCCCTGGGCAGGATGACACCTGGAGGCAGAGGTGCCCTCCCCCAACCCCACCAGACAGCCCTTGTATGTGAGATGCTTGAAGCAGGGAAAGCACTGCACCATGGAAATGATGAAAATGACAACTCGCTTCTCCGGCTAGCCCGATTTAAACTGTCATGTTTCGGAAACTCCCTTCTGAAAGGAACTCACTGCAGTGGGCATCTTTTAAAATAACGTCAAAACATTCCATCAGAAATATCCTAGAACTTGAGCATTTGGTGCAATGGTGCCACCAGGGAGGAAGCCGGGGAAGGTGAGAGAGCCGGGGGCAGGGCTCCAGGGCTTGGGGTCAGAGGGTGGGGTCAGGTCTCTGCAGTGAGACTCTAACTAAGGGAAGTTTGGTGTGGAAGGCAGGGGAGGGGCTTCAGGAGGACAGCGAAAGGGCTGAGGGGCACACAGGGTCTCCTGCCACTGTCTGCCCTTGAGAGCAATGATCCAGCCACCCCCTATTGTCTCAGCGCCCCTAGGCTAGCCCTAGAAGAAGCTGGCTGCTTCTCCTTCCACCACCTCTCCCGTTCTGTGTTGGAGAAGGGCCCACCTGGAGCGGAGCTGGACTCCGCCCTCTTCCTCTGCCTTCCCAGGCATGAAGAAGCCACGTGGCCCTTTGCATGGCCTTTTCCAAGGGCTTTCACTGCCGGGGATAAGGGGAAGTAACAGGGCATGGGGGTTCCTTCTACATTTTCTCTGCTCTCCCCTCCATCCTGTCCTCTCACTTGCCCACTGAGGCCCTGTGGGAAGAAGGAAAGGCCTTAAGGGTGGTCACGGTCAGTGCGTCCACAGAGCAGAAAACAAGGCTGAATGAAGCAAGCTCATCCCAGGGCTACAGGAGGGGCCCTTTGATGGAGGGCAGGGGAGGAAGGCTGAGGTTCTGTGCTCTGGGGCAGGGGTGCAGCCGGAGCAGAGGATGAGAAACTCCTGGTTTTGCTCGCCTCCCAGGTACTCTGGCCGAAACCACTCTTCTGAGCTAACCCTGGAGCCAAAGGAGAAATGAGGTGGTGGGGGGAGGCAGCATCCCTGGTAGAGTAACCATCCCGAAGGCCGTTTTTACGTGAGGAACACAGATCCGCTACAGAGAATTCATGGATGTATATACACAGAAACACGTGCACACGACAGTACCATTTACATGTTGCTTGTTGATATTAAAACTCTAGCTTGCTGTTGAGTTTAGCTGACATAATACACTTATGTTCTATATCTTGCATAATAAATAGAATTGTAGAAACTAAAAGCTGACTTAGGACGATGTCTTAAAAAGAAAAGATACTTCATAATATGCCATGCTGTGTTTCTCCACATTTTTCACTCCACAGTTTGGTCTACAAATGGTTTCTTCTGATCTACAAACTCAGCTATGCCTTTGGTGTTGTGGGTTATTTGGCTATCATATTCACAATGAGTGGACTCCATTTGCTTTTCAAGTAAGTATTTCCAATGAAGACCTTAATGTCTCAAAGCACTTGCTTGTAACATCCCCCTGGCCAAGTTCTCTGTATCTGGAAGCCACAGTTTAAAAAAAAATGAGCTTTAATACAACAAGGAATCTATGGCAACATTTTTGAAAAATAGATTTCCCAATTTATTTTTTAGATTGTCAGGGAAATTTTTCATTTCAGACTATATCTACATGAAAAACATACAGCATTTTTAATTTAGCTATGGATCAAAGTAAAGGTCCATTACCATCAATTACTTTGTCATTTGTTTATCATCTTCTCAAAAAGCTAAGTTGGTAAATCTGAAAATACAAACTAATTTCAAAGAACTAATACAAAGGTTTTCCTTTTTTCCTAATTAAATATCAAAGACTTTAATAAATTCAATCAATTTCTTTCCTTTTGTTCAAAAAGTGATTAATGTATGTTAGTAAGGTGACACTTAGGCAAAAGAATAATTCCAGGGTAGTTTAGCAGCTTCCCACATGTAAGGGTACTGAGATAAGATGCTTCTTATTTATTTGCTTTGTTAACACCCCTCTTCACTCCACCTAAAGGAAGACTATTCCAAAGGAAGTTATATAGCATAATAATCCACATGAAATTATTAAGAAGATACAAATGCTTGCAATACCTTTACAATAAATTAAGTATTTTTCATTTTCTGATTCTCTTATTCTAAGTATGTCAAAGCTAGCGCACTTTCTGTATGAATACACTCCTTTTCCCCAGTGCAAGTTTGGTAGGCATTGTTACTTAGTTTTTCTCCTTGGTCCTCTACATTTACTCAGACATTTTTTTAAAATATATTTGTTCAGGGCACAAAGAAACACTGTCATTTACTGCAATGTTGCCATTAAAGCTAAAGCATTTCAATAGCATCTAAGAAAAAAAAAAACGTGGTGGATGTTACATTCCCAGAGGAGGACAGAGCGCTAAGTGAATTTCATAGCTACAGGAAAAATTGTCTTTTAAAATAGGAAAAAGATGTTTATATTAAACTTCATCATCATATTTAAATACAGCACTATTACACTGAATGTTGACTTCATACATCATGCAAAACTGTGCTGTTGCTGAAATGTATTATTAACCGTAGAATGATGGGAGTGACAAAAACCTGCTTGAGTGCCCACAAAACACACACACACACGCACACACACACACGATTTAAAGAGAAACTACACTTGATCTGCAAATTTAAAAGATCTTCATTAAAAATAGGCCTACATTTTCCCTCCCACAAAAATTGGAAGCATCATTTCCTTCTATATTATCTTCTTCCTTAAAACTTCTAGAACGAATCCAACACAGTAGCTGCTAGTGCATGTGACTATTGAGCTCTTAAAATGTGAAATAAGATGTGCTATAGTGTAAAATACACACTGTATTTCAAAGATAGTATGAAGAATAATTTTTGTATTAACTACATAGTTGAAATGATAGCATTTTCATTGCACTGGTGAAATAATTTCATCTGTTTCTTTTGACGTTTTTACTGTGGCTACTGGAAAATTTTCAGTGTTCTATGGATGTCCAAACTACATTCTCACTGGACAGCACTGCTGTGGAATCTTGTTTCCAGTGCTCATGAAATCCCTTTTGCTGGGGACAGTGGGAAAGGAGGGAACTGAGTGCTTAGAAACTGTGAGAGGGGAAGAGATAACAGAGCAAGAACGTCTGGAGAGAAATAGAGCTTCCACTGGGAAGCTCATGGCTGAGATGTGCTGTGGGCAAGGTCCTCCCCGGCAGAGCTGAGGCTGGGTCACCCGCCTGTGTCCTGGAAAGGGAGTTTCAGACGTGCCACACAGCTGTGGAAAGCAGCTCAAACAGAGCTCCCCAGAATACCTCTCATAATGAAGTTACTCTGGGACAGTAAGACAAATAGAAAGGCTGAGATCAGCAACGTTAATTCATAAAAGAAGGAAGGCCGTGGGAGAGAGAGCCAGCCCTGGTGGAAAGGACTCTTCCTGCAGCAGGAGCACAGTCCGATTTTTTAAGTATTTTGTGAAACTTTTAGACCAAAAGTTCCTACTGTTTTCTAGCAGGAAAGAAATAGAAAGTAAACGAGTGATCATTGCTTGTTTAAGACATAGAAAGACACTAATTTCTCTTTTTTAGCATACTGTTTATATTACTTTCTTTTAGTGAATGCAAAAATATTTGTAAGGACTTTTATTAAATTGCCTGAAACTACAGATGTCCCAACACTATTATCTCATAAGATTTTAAGGTCCTTAATCGTGACTTTTCTTACAATTAAGCACACAAAGAATTTAACCCTTCAGATTGGGAAGGAATTATTTTTTCCCCACTAAGTGTTGTTGATCATCATTGCGTAAACAGTTCCTTCTGTGGAACTTTGTTAACTACACTTTTTATCAATACCTGCTCCCCTGGACCTGGAGAGAAGATAACCCTCACTCCGCCCCACTGCCCTAGTTCTCAGACATACCCAGGAAAACCTTGAAAGGATGCAGCTGCCGCCTGTGTTGGAGTTCCCAACTCACATCAACAGAAGATTGGTATCCTCTAAATCTATGAAGATCTCTGCCTTTATATTTCCTCCACACGTTAACAGAGCCCCAAAACCCCTAGAAGAAGGTTCCAGAAACAGACAACCCAACTCTTCTCCTCTCTCCCCTCCCTTCCCAATTCGGTCAGACACACCCAAGCCCACTGCTAGTATTTGAGAATATTGACAGATAGAACAAGCCAAACATGCAATGATTAAGATTTAGAAACTAAATTAGAAGCTAATTATTCACTTTTTAAAGAGATCTTTGGATGGGCATCTGTAATACTGTCAACTATTTTTAAAAAAAGAGAAAAAAGAGAGGATTATACTAAAGAATCCTATTACATTCGAACTATAATCCAACTTGCAAAAAAAAAATTTTGACTCATACATGATGACTATGGCATCGTAGCAAAAGGCCTCAAAATTGGAGGTTGATTCTTATATCTACCACAAATATTTTGGGGTGAGATAAAGTGTTTGAAATCATTCTATAAAATCTGAGGTCTGAGGCAGGGACTCTCAACCCCAGCTGTGTTACAAAGTCACCTAAGTAGCTCCTAATAAGCTCTGCCGTGCAGACCCCACGCCCGGCCACTCAAACTGGAGCCCTGGAAGGTGGGTTCACACATCAGTACAGTTTTAAATCTCCCTTGATGATTATAATCTATATTTAGGGCTGACAACCTTGCTCTTTTAAAGAGGCTTGGAGTGCTACCTGCCCATTGGGATGCCTGGAGTCTACAGAGATTCCAAAAATGCTGCTGCCCGGGCCCCATCCCCAGAGAGTTCAATGTCATCGGCCCCTGCCCCCCAGATGCCCCATTCTTACTTCCTCGCCCTGTTGTCCCCGACAGAGTCAAGGCTAGAGACTCCATGGATTTCGGCATTGTGTCTCTGTTCTATGGCCTCTACTATGGCATCATGGGGAGAGATTTTGCCGAGATCTGCTCGGAATACATGGCTTCTACTATAGGGGTAAGTGTTGCTTTTATTCATTGTCAGCATTCATTGTATGTGGCGAAATGGTCTCACCTTCCACCATATTCACACCCATTTTCAGAAACTGATAAATCTTTGGTTCTTTCAGCCCAATTGCTCTTTGGATTCTCCTCACACCAAAAAAAAAATGTCTTTGCTAATTAATTAGAAAATACATTTCTTATTGATATAAAGTGGTTAGGAAATAAGGCATTGTTTAAAATAAATGAGACTAATTATTTGGAAGTAACCATATCTAGCATGCTCCAATCGCCAACATTTAGAGAATTAGCAAAACTTCAACAATAACAACACACTTTTTCTCTGCCGAATGAAAATAAAGTCATTTGATGCACCTAAAACACTGTAAAATCAACCAGTGCCTCAGGGTACTACTACTCAGCACAAAGATCAGCTATTGTTATGTAGCATTTGAAGAAGTAGAAGATATAAAAAGTGTGCTAAGTATATTCTGACTGTATACTGTTCTCTGAAATTTAAAAAAAAAAAATTCCATAATAGCTTGTTTAACTCTTTTAAAAACACAACTCAGAATGCGCATGCTTTCTGGTTTGGTGGAGTTCAGAGTCAGACACTAGGAGCGTTTACCTGTGTCTGATGCATGCATATCTCTTCAACACAAACCAGAGCCTCCAGGGATGACTGGCGGTTTCAGGAACCCTGCAGCTCTGTGCTCTGTCGGTGTCTTGGCTCACAGCCCCATCTGAAGTGGAGAACCCTGTGAGTACAACAGTGAACCCCTGGACTGCTCTTCTCTCTCTCTCCCTCTAGGGGGCAGGAATGAGCAGATATTCCCTTGATTTCATTCCACTCCATCTGCCCTTCCCCATTCCCACCGGCTCTTTCTTACCCTCTTCCTAGAGCCTGGAATCCAACTTCTGTGGTGAAAGGCTGGAGCAAGACACCTATTGGCATTCCTTGGCCACGTGTCATCTCTGGGCCAGCTAGTGGCCTTTCTTAGAAGGTAGAAGGTTAACAAAGCAGGGAGCATTTTCACTTCCAGGTCCTCCAACAAAAATCAGAAACCACAGTCCTCAAAAAATTCCCAGGGCCTCTTGTGCTTATTTATGGACAAGAGAGGAAGAAAAGGTTATCTGTCCGCTCTTTGGTGGGCCAGAAAGAAGAGATTTACCTCTGTTACCTTCACTTTCACTACTAAGTAGAGGGTCTGGCAGAAATAAAGCAATAATGTGGGTGCAGTAATTTCTAGTTTTAATTTGAACATCTCACTTAAAATGTCGTATGGTGTGCTTGAGTGTGATATTGGTACATTACAGAGTTGCATGCTTATGATGATTTTGTAATAAAAGATTCTGTAATAAACAAGGGGTGTTATTTGTGCCAGACCCTGTGTATAAACGCACTGCCTGCAGACTTTAGCACAGCCACCGGCGACTTGAATTGACAGCACGTGCGCGTGTGTGTGTGTGCACTCAGATCACATGGGAATTAAAACACGTAGATGCCTGCGTTTACTCCAGAGCCATGAATCAGAATCTCCAGGAGATTAAAAAGCAGGGCCAGTCTCTGGCTGGGTAAGCCCAGAAAGCTTCCTGGGCAGTTCTGAGCTATATTCCTGGATAAAAACTGTCCCTCTTGAAGGATTTCTTGGCCGGAAGATTAGATTTGAGGTTACATTTAGCAATGCATTTGGGGTCCATTTGGGGTTCCGTGGGTTTTTGCCTGGAAACCTCACCCCCACTGCTGCACCGTTCCTATGGGGAAAAGTGTTTCCAGTTCTAAAGCAACAGAGAAGCAGTAAGGACCCCAGGCCCCACAGCCTGGCAGTGTCTTCTCTGTGCTCAGAGAAGGGCCCATGTGCTCCTCCTCAGCACGGCTCTGTGCATTTCCCCCCACAGTTCTACAGCGTCAGTGGGATGCCCACGCGGAGCTTGGCCGACAGCATCTGTGCCGTCTGTGGACAGAAGACCATCGTGGAGCTCGGCGAGGAAGGGCTCATTGAAGACACCTACCAGCTTTCCTGCAATCACATGTATCCTTTTCATGGGAAACCATTCGGTCTTTAGGAAGCAATATTGGGAGGCAGATTTCAAGTAACCTGTGTGGAGTACGGACATGGCAAGTTAGGAGAGGCTGTCTCATCACCTTCCCTCCTGCCGCTCCTCTTCCTCTCCCCTCTCCTCTGCCCGGCTTGGGTCCCAGGCCTCTCTGCTGCTGCCCGTCTTTCTTTCTGAGACGCCCTGATCATCCCTGCTGAATATGAACTGCTAATTTAAGGTGAACCTCCTCCTGCAGCAGTTTCCTTTGTAAAAAAGGAATCTTAATGCCACAGGGACAGGAAGGCTGCAGCATCTGTACAGGACGCTGTACAGGATGTTGGCTGGGAAAGTTGGTGATGCCACAAGTGAACAGACAGCCAAGAAGGACCAGAGAGAGAGCAGGGGCTTGGGGGTGAGAAAAGAGTAACATTTCAGGGCTGGGAGCAGCTCAGGACTGTCTGGGTGGAGCTCCAGGTCTGAGTCTCCCAGGACCAAGAATGACAAAATGTGTTCTGCCTTCAGATAACCCTGGGAACCTGCTTGTGTCATCAAGGGTGATGGGGGCGGGCAGACAGGATAATGCCACAGGCAGCCGGGCACCCCACGTTACAAAAGGAGGGACCAAGCCCTGGCTGGCGTAGCTCATTGGATTGAGCGCGGGCTGGGAACCAAAGTGTCCCAGGTTCGATTCCCAGCCAGGGTACATGCCTGGGTTGCAGGCCATAACCCCCAGCAACCGCACATTGAAGTTTCTCTGTCTCTCTCTCTCTATCTCCCTCCCTTCCTTCTCTAAAAATAAATAAATAAAATCTTTAAAAAAATGACTGTTTAAAAAAAAAACAAAAACAAAAGGAGGGACCAAAATGTGAGCGCCTAGTCCTTGGACCATTTGGCTCCGCTGTCCACTCCAAATAGCCACCTGCTGACTGAAGAATCTTCGGGTGTTAGGAACCAGGCAGGCAGGGCCTGGGAACCAGCACTCTCTGGGGACCTCAGCAACCATGGAGGGGAACCTCAGTACGGGGGAACGACGCTGGGATCGAAGCCCCGAGAGGGGCAGCATGTCACTCTGGATACCAAAGCTGGGTCTGGGCTGGCCAACAGTTCTTTCCTAGATACACACTACTTTATTTTATAGTATAACACTCATTTTGCAATGTTACTATACACTCAGGGCAAAGCTCTGGCATCATAAGGTGCTTAAACCATCTGTCTCTTGCCTCAGAGCCACCTATCTCAGTCAGAAACACCCTGGGGTGTGCAGTGCTCATGATTCAGTTCCATTTAATCCGGACAGACTGTACTTACTCAATCCCAAGAGTAAGAAACTGGACCGAATGCATTTGCAATGTAACAGGAACCTTTACTCCAACATTTTAGCCTTTACATGTTAAGGTAAGAAACAATGGTATCCTATATGGAAATCTACGGTGGTTTTTCATTGTGATACCCTTCCCAAAAAACCATCATTTTTAGTAGAAATTTTCCAAGCCTGGCCCTAGTTTTAAATATGATTCACTTTTCAAGTGTTGGAACACAGCCCCTGTTGCCTTTTGTGAGTGGAAATATTTCCTCTCTCCACCTTTAAAAGCCCTTAGGGACCACTGTACATGTGTGCCTGTGGAATCCAAAATGTAGTTATCTTTAAACTTGCTTCACAGGGAGTACTGCTAATGGCCAGTTTTAGCGTGAGTCATATTAACAAGGCAGGGGCAGAAAGCTGAGTACGGCTCTGTAGCGAATCAGCACGGAGATTCTGCAGATGAAGGAGAGTGTTAAAGAGGAGGTGGATGTTTCGATGCTGGCTCCAGCCCTTTTGAATTAAGGGTTAAGTGAGTTTTGGTTCAAAACCTTTGTTACAATACCATACTTTATGTTGACCTAAGCATGTTGCAAAAGTAACCCCTATACTAAGAACATAAAATAGAGGAAGCTCTTTGTCGCACACTTCTCTGATGTTGAGGAACTATTCACATGGCCTTGACTTATCTACACCTCCACAGTCCTCCCTTTGTTGGGGAGCGAGGGGCCTTCTGCATCACTGCCTCTCACATGCATATCTGACAGGCCAGTCAGAAAATCGGGAGGTCTTGGTCCACAAAGCCACGTTAATAAATGAATAGGATTGATCGATTGTAGTCATTTTTCCCAAGTCTACAATGCAGGTTTCACAGCATTGTGACTTGGGAAAAATGACTATAATAGATCAATCCTATTCATTTATTAATTTCTACAGTCATTGGTCCCAATGTGGCTTTGGGAAAATATATTTGCAAAAGTAGCTGGCTTTGAGTAATTCATTCAAATATTTACTCAATGCACAGGCACTTAGGCACTGCCTAAGGTGCTGAGGACAGAAAAGAATGAGACATGTGGCCCAGGAGAGACACACAGAGGGCAGAAAGTCACGACACAGTGTGGTACATGTTGTAATAGGAGTTAAGTCCCTGGTGCTTTGGGAAACACAGAGGTTACTCTCAACCTTGGAGGCGAAGGGTCAGACTTTCTAGATAAGGAGATGTATACAGATGAATTTGCAAATGCCTAGGTTTATATTCTATTAAAAACAACCGGCTCCTTATCAGTAACAAAAAAAAGCTGAGAAAAAAACATAAGAAGCTAATGGAAGTATTTGTAAGTTCCTGACCACAAATAATGTAAATTCATCTAAGTGCCTAAGACGAGTCTGGTTACATGGTAGATGGTGAGTGATGTGCAGAAGTAGAAGAGTGAAATGCTGCAGGAGATGCATGAGAAATGCACAGTCAGCAAGGTAGGGAAATAAAATGATGCACTTACATTCGATATTACTGTAAAAAAAGCACTTTCACATCCTTTATCTAATTTAATTCTCTCAAGGATCAAGTGAGGCAAGAACAAGTGAGGCCAAGAAGCTTGGTAGACTCCTCAGGGTCATAGACCTACTGCAGCTCTGACTCCAAGCTCACGGTCCTCGGCAGGGGTCAGGGGGTCCACTGTCCTTCGGAATCTGCCTAAAAAAGTGCTGCCCACAGTCAAGTTGTGACTGACAGCCATCCTCTCGCCCTGCACTACTCCACCCTACAGATGGGACCATATCCGTGGTGTCCTCATGAGGCCAACCTTGCCTTTCATATCCAGAAGCTTCCCTAACAAGATGCCGAAGCTTTCACGAATTCTGCATCCGAGGCTGGTGTATTGTTGGTAAAAAGCAGACCTGCCCTTACTGCAAAGAGAAGGTTGACTTGAAGAGGATGATCAGTAACCCGTATCCTTTAAAAAAAAGTTATAAAATATTATCTTAAATGTTTCCAGGGAAGCATTCTTCAGTATGAACTTTCACTGGCTTCACTGTGGTCACAGCAGGAAACTTGCTTGTTTCCCTAATCGCCCAGTTCATCGAGACGACCCACTGGCTTCTTTCTTTTCTCCCCTGTGCCTATTACTCTTCTGGTTAGGCGCTCACGTACCAAAAAGAGACATTCTGCTCTTTATTTTCCACATGTGCCACCGTGTGGGCTTTCATGGAAATGTGACGGGACATCGCAAAAGATAGGTAAATATATGGAAGGATTAGATAGCTAGATAGCTAGCTAGCTAGATAGCTAGATAGATACATAAACAGATGGATGAATGATAAGTAACAGGTGGGTGATGGGTTGGGTGGCTGGGCAGACAGATAGCCTGGAATTTAAATTTTAAAAGCCCCAAATGTGCACTGAAGTATAGAAAGGTATTTTTAAGGTGCACCAAATTTTATTATTTCCATGAACGAGTAGGGCTTTCCCACCTAGATTTAGGCTTTTTAAATTCCTTGCCATGCCCTCATCTCTTCTTAGGCTAAAGCCTAGTGATCATAATATTGGAAGGAAACAAGGACCATACAGGCTTGGTCAGCTTATGGCAGCAACTAGGACTTTTACAGACCCCAGGATCCCTATCTGAATAAACCCAAATCTCACTAAGGCACAGGAAGATAATGACCCCATATAAATGGGACTAAAATATATCCCCCTTTAAACAGAAGTGCCAAGTACCCTCTCTTCTTTAAAGAGACAGTCTTTCTATATTTTCCCAGTATCAGTCACCTACATTGTGCAGTGCTAAAGGAAATACTTCCCATGTTCCCCGCTCCTCACCAACCCTACGTGCACAGTCTTTACATGCCCCTTCCCCCACCTCTGAGGTTTGCAAATCAAAGACAGATTTTCAAGTTAGGGAGCAGAGGAGGCACGGTGATGGGTCTTTGGGTCTCTGAGCCAGGCCATATCTAGGGGACACAGTCTGCAGCCACGAGCTCCACCCACAGGCCTGGCCTTCCTCGGGGAGTCCCCACAACTCAGCAAGACCAAGGCCAAGGGTGTGCGGTGCCCCTTCCTCCCTCCTGGTCCTCTGCTCCCCCTGAATTTCCATTCTCTTATGAGGAGACGGAGCCCAGAACCGTTTTTGGTGAATCACGTATAAAACCACAGTTCATAAATCTTCATTATAAAACTGGTCATAATGTGATCATAAATGTCACCTTTAATGATCATTTAAAGAGCAAAGAACAATTGGTTTCTTTATATAGTCTTGAGAGAGTAAGCTTTTGAATATTACACGAGCTCTTTCTGAGACTCAGAGGAAACAGCTGCATGTGAAAAATGGCCCTTATGCCTGCAACGTTCCTCTCAGAGATACTGTGTATTAAGCCCCCTTCCACAGTTTATCAAAGACACCAGGAAACGGTACATCTTACCTGTGAACGCAGGCTTTTCTTTTGAATATCCCATGAGTTCCCTCTGACGAGCTGACTGCAGGAAAGCCCAGAGCTGTTTTGCTCAGTTATAACAGCTCCCTTATCCTTGGCTTTCCAGCGTAGTCACTCCCCTCTTCCTCTTTCTTTTGGTATATGGCCCTCGCCTTTTATTACTGTGTTATAGTTTGGGATTTTAGTATCAAGTTTTATTTTTAAAAATTAGATGCAATATAAAGAACTATGAGAGCCAAATGCCATAAAAATCATGTAAGGGGCTTTTAAATGAACACAGAGAATTAACAAGAAAGGAAATGCCCGCTCATGACATTGCTTGTTGTATTTTCAAATGATATTTACAAGTATTTCTGCCACTTGGCCAGGTATAGGACAACCTCCTTAACTGAGATTTAGCTGGGAGCGCACACACATTTTGTACGGACAAATGCTGGACTGGCTTCGTTACCTGGTGGCCTGGCAACCCATGGTGATAGGAATCGTTCAAGGCATTCACTATTCACTGGGGCTGGAATAATGTAGCAGACTTACCCCAGAGGCAATGCATTACATGTTGAAATGTTTTGAGAAGTCCTTGATCCTACATTAACCATCAACATTCTTTTTTTTTTTAATTTAGAGATGATTCCAAGAATTCAGAGAATTGAATACAATCTGGTGGTCTACATAAGGCAGTTTGTCTATGTGGAAAGGATGGAAAGAACCGAATAACAGAATAAACAAGGGAAGCGTGCTTTGCGTCTTTCCCATTACAAGTGTTTTCTAATCCATGCATGCGACACATTTATTACAAGCCTCCATGGACACCTTGCCTCTAAGTTGGGTGATGTCGATGTCATCTGTAAGGCATTTCACAGGTTTGCAAAGTGCTTCTCACAGAGAACATTTAGCCATAACGAATACCTTCTGGTCAGTTCAACATCTTCAGAGAAGTCAGCAGAGGTGTTAAGTCATCTGCGGTGTAAGAATCTGGCCTCTTCTACACTTTGTGCTTGTGACCACGGGGCCACTTTGGCACCGCAAAGCCCTCCCACAGAGACAGGACTACCCCTGCCCACAGCACTAGGTGCCACAGCCCACTCAAGGCACTGGAGCGATGCCCGGTTTCCTGACCCGTCCAGGGGCTGCCCTGAAGTGGACAGACTCACTCTCTCCTTGTGTGCCACTCTGAACACACACACATTCACACGCGGTCACTCCGTGGCTGTCCTCTGCTTTCATTTTCTTCATAGCGCTTACCAATACCTGCAACCATATCATAGATTTGTTTATTATTTATTGTTTGTCTTTCCCTCCATGAAGGCAGAGAACTTTATCTCTTTTCTCCTCCTAGTGTATCTCCAGCACTTGGAGCAGCACCTGGTATATAGTAAGCACTCAGTAAATACTTGCTGAATACTAAAAATAATCCTTTTGCAGGAGGGACCAAACTTAACGGAATAGGAAAGAACCACCCAGAAAGAATTAACCCACGAATGATGTGGCACAATCCCCCAAATCAACTTGGTTGAAAGTACTGGCCGTTTGTTAAACAGCCAACACCAGGCATCTACTCTGCCATATTTAAAGGTATTACATTCATATGAAGAGAAGAAGAAAACTCACGCACTGTCAGTGTAATGCTATTCAAAGTTCCATTATAGTTTTAATGAGGAAAACTCACACTAAGATTTCTCCCTGTTGGTACTTTTCCTTCATGAAGCTGCCCAGTCCTTCAGCGTCATGATTGGTTCACCATCCAGATTACATGGAGACTTAACTCCGATTTATGTCTCTACTCAGCAAACATTTTTTAAGGTAGATTTATTCTTAGAGGAGAAAGGAGAGAGAAAGAGAAGGATAGAAACATCAATGTGTACTTCCCTCTCATATGACACGTACTGGGAACCTGGCCCACAACCCAGGCACGTGCCCTGACTGGGAATTGAACCAGTGACCCTTGGGTTCGCAGGCCAGCACTCAATCCACTGAGCCACACCAGCCAGGCTCTACTCAGCAAACATTTCAATAATTCAATAGTTATTACACACCAGGCATGTGCAAGGGTTAAGGAGATAAAACAAGATTCTTGATTTTATGGTCTATTGACAAATAAAAGAGCTCACAGCTGGATTAACACTAAGAATTAGTTTTTCTTCTGGAAAAGAAGGAGCTCTTAAATTGATCTCAGATGTGTTTGCCACTTAATCACAAGTGGACAGCTGCATGAGGGTGGCTTTTACTACAGAGCCTGTTTATTTTATTTTTGTCTGATTTTTAAGAGCATAGCTATCAGACTTTTTTTCTTTAATTTTTTTATTTATTGATTTCAGAGAGAAAGAGAAACATTGACCCATCATTGTATGTGCCCTGTCCAAGGATTGAACCTGCAACCTTGGTATGTATGGGGTGATGCTCTAACACACAGAGTTACCTGGCCAGGGTGCTTTCAGAACCTTTGGAACCCTGGGCAAGTAAGCCAGTACGAATTTGCTGAAATTCTGAATAACCCTCAGAGTTCAGAAAGATGTTAGATAATAATAGCTACACAATCTCAGAAAAAATAAAGATGCTATTTTTATGCAGTTTAAATATTTAAAATTAAATCCCAGTTTTTTGAAGTAATATATATATAAAATATTGGAGACCTAACACTATATAGTTATCAGTGGTTATTCAAAGGTAAAAAGATAAGAGCTGATTCTTACTTTCTTTTACATAATCTTATCTCTTTTACAAAATTTCTACAGTAAACATGTTTAACATTTCCAGTGAGAAACATAAAGATCATTTTAAAACTATTACTTTGACTCTATCAATTAACTACAAAGTTATTTCTATTGCTGTGTAAATTACTGCAGTTCAGTCTAACAGATCAAGTCCATGCTACATGTGTCTAGTTCTCATGATAATTAGCATTGGGTTTAATGTAGAAAATAAAAAGTAAAGCAAAAAGTCTATTTTTGTGCTCGGCTTCTGTGGCATCCACTCCAGTTTCCCTCCCCTGAACTTTGCCACTTTTTTTCTTAGGCTGGCTTCTGTCTCCTCCCTAACACTCTCCCAGGAGCTCGTATGAGCGGGCAGAAACATTATTTGAGCGTCCCAAAGACTAAAGCCTGTTATGCACTTGGGATATTTTTCTGCAAACAACAGGATCCCTTATACCCCTGCCAGTACCCACTACAGAAAAATACCCATTTGCAAATAATAATACATAAAGAGATGAATTGCTTCCTGGAAAACAGTAACAGCTACCACAGGGTCCCTGTCACCCTGTGGGTCCCGTTCCCATAGGCTTGCCCTCCTCACTCCTCCAAAAGGAACAGCAACCAAGGGGCACGTGCTCAGTGGTGTGGTTACGTTACTGTACGTTAATATCTGCATCATACCCCATGATGTCAATATCGTTATCCCTGTTTTCAGGGCAGGAAAACATTTTGGGTCAGGTTAAGTAACTTGCCTACTAACCCAGGACCTTCTTGACTCTGGAGCCCAATTAACCACACAAACCCAGTTCCGGCTGAAACTGAGGAGGGTCAGAGGAAGTTCACTTCCTTTCACATGTGGTTCCCAGCTTAAGAAAATTGCACCAAATCCATAAATAGCATTAATTGCATTAAATTGAGTGTATTATTAAATCTAGATTAGAAAAATTAAGATGGAAGTATTGTCTATCTTTTAAATTATTGTGTATCAAATATCTTTGTGAGGAATCTCTAGGTTTATCCTTGTTTAAAAATTTATTTAGCTCATGGGGACTATTTTTCAGGAGCAAAAAAAGAGAGGAAGGCCTTTTTAGAATCACGGTCAAGGCTTTTCAAAGAAGAAAGCACCGGATGCAGGGGTGGCAGACTAGAAGGCACGGACTGAGCGCCAGAGTAACTAGATACAAATTAGACCTTCGCATCGTTCAGGGATGGAGGAAAATGAGTCAGGAACATGAAAGGCTTCTTTCAAATTCTTCTGAACTGAGTATTTTATTTACTTATTAGTTTGATTTTCACTGAAAAACATAATTTACTGTGTCTCATGTTTTGGTTATCCTCATTCAAGCCATTACGGCTAGAGAAACCTATCAAACACCCAGACAGACAGGCTTAGTTTACATGAAAACACACTCTTTTTTCGGCATTTTGTATGCCGTAAAGTTCGATGGGGACACACAACACTTTTTTCTAGGAACAGCAATACTGGGGCTGAACAACCCCAGTTTTTGCCCTTTTGGTCACAAGAGCAGCCGCACAGAGGAGACAGCCAGGTGGGACAGCAGATGCCCTCCGCAGACACGGGTAAGTCTGCTGGCGGCGAGACAACTGCGTGTCCACTTGAAGTCTGTTCATTTGTACATTTCCTAAAGAACGAAACCATTTGCTAAAAGATAATTCAGATGTCAAAAATGGCCTTAGATCATGATTGTCTCCACGATAAAGAAAAAACAAAACCTTTTTGTTTTTTCAGTCTGGTAGCACTTGGTATAAAACAGCACTCTAGATAAAAATTGAACAGTTTTAGTATCTTTAGTAAGCAAGCCTTCATGTGGCTTCCATATGCTTGTGTCAGAATGGACTTAGTGATAACTAGTGATAGAAAGACCGCCCCCAGACCAGGACTGGCCTTTCACGCAGGAACCTAGGACTTGATAGCCGCTCTCAAATTGAACCAAAACCCTTCCTGCTGAGCCTCATCCGCAGGCCACTCCAGGTAGGTCTTGGTGTTCATGATCTTCCGCAGCTTACAGAAACGCTGCGGGATGGCCTTCTTCTCGATGGGCTCCAGCAGAATGAGAATGGCAGCATCGTTGTTCTCATCGAAGAGACGGAAATGGGAGAAGTCCAGCTCGTACTTGCACCACTCACTCTTCACAAAGTTTTCGGAAAGCACAAAGATGGTCTTGTGGCTCTTTTCGATGGAGTCGATGATATTGTCAATAATCCATTTGCCGGGAATAAAGTCCCGCTTATGAAGGCACAACTGAAAGGGAGGGTTGAAGTGCTCCAGCTGCTGGACCATGAGGTTCTCTACCCAGTGGGAATCCCGCTCACTGTAGGACACAAAGGCGTCGTAACAGACGTCCCTCTGCGGGGCTCTCTTGGGCTTCCTCTTGGCCTGGAGCCAGGCCCACATCATCTTCATGTACCACAGTCCATGGAGATGGTGGCATAAGGCCCCCGTGAGCAGGATCAACAGGAAAAGGACACAGCACACAGCAGACACCACAGCCACCCTGTGGCACTCAGTCACCGAGAGACGGGTGTCCTGAACCCGCTGGCCCCGCACGTGGGATGGAGAATCACACAGGTAATTCTCGGGCCAGTCAGTGAGGAGCTGGGCCAGTGCCCGCCGCTCCCGAGTGAAAGACAAGAATTCACAGGTGCAAATGAAATTGTTGCCGCCAGCTTCCAAAGTCTTCAGGTTTTGAAAAGAATCCAGTTGTTCCTTGGAGAAAGTATTTATCGTATTTCTGCTGATTCTCATGAGTAGTAACATGGGTAAGAAGGAGGCATCTGGGAGAGTCTTCAACTTGTTTCCAGAAATATAAAGTTCTTTGAGTTGTGGCATTGTCAAAGAAAATGAATTGAGGTTGTTATTGCTAATATCTAAAATTTCCAGGGTCTGAGGAATGCAGTCAGTTAAACTGTGTATTTTTGTGCTAGATAAGTTCAAATATTTCATCTTCTCTGGCCACTGACAAGTGTGAGGTATAGGATGGAAATTATTCCTACTGATGTCAAGGTTAGTCAGATTTTTCAAATTAAGCAAAATTTCTCCAGTTTTCTCCAATGATGTCAGATGGTTTTGCCTTAAAATTAAGGTTTGCAGGGAGGGCCAGGCATTCTCACAGGCTGAGTTTCTCAGTAAGTCTTCAACCAATAAATTCTCATTAAGATCCAAATATTCTAATGATTTTAAATGTTGTGAAAGTGAACAAGGAACCAGAAAAACCTTGCTATTTTCTATTGTGATTCTTTTCACTTTTCCTATAAATGCATATATATTTCTCAGATCATAAAATAAGTAAAAATCTGGAATGTGCAACCTTCGTATTATTAATGTCTCTACGTTACTTAGACCTTTAACTGGGTCCAGAATGGATATATCAAAATCACCAACTCCTCTATAGATACAGTTATCAAACTCCACATCTAACATTCCAGAAACATAATATAACAGTTTCACAACTTCTTGAAAACTAGGATCAGTGATTTCCACATTTCTGAATGTAAACTTTCTAATAAATGTCTTAGTTTCATTGATGGATACTTTTGAAAAACGGAAAGTGTTCAAGCGAGTATCTATCAGTTCCAAATGTTCCAAGGAACTTAAAAGGTCCACGAAAATCTCCAGCAGGAAAACAGGCTGCTTCATGTGAAGGACCAGATGGCTGACGTTCTGAATGGACTTCAAACTCTGGGGCCCGTACCTCTGGAGACTGGAAGCGTCGATCTCGAGTTCCTCAAGAAAAGTGAGTCCCACAAAATCCTTTTCCTGAATTTCAGTGAAGCTGGCACTATTTCCTACTCTCAAGATTCGCAAATTGGTGAGATGAGAAAAAAGAGATGTTTTCCCAAGTGTTTTATAAGGATTTCCCAGTAAGTTTAAAAATTTCAGGGCAGCGAGGGGCTTGAACCAGGAGGACGATAAAGTAGATAAGCGATTGCTGGATAAGTCCAAGTGTTCGAGACTCCCCAGGGAGCAAAAGGAATCTTCCTCTATGGTGTTAATGTTGTTGGACCCCAGCCTCAGAGCCTTGAGGTTCACACACATCCGCAGGTCACCGTTGCTGACATAGGTGATCATGTTGTCGGACAGGTCAAGGCTTTTCACAGTGGCCGTGAGCCCTGTGGGGATGGAACTTAAAAATCTGGAGCGGCCGTCACAGACACCAGTGGGGTCACAAGTCAGAGAAGAAGCCTGACCAGTAGCCCCTTCCTTGGACAGGCTGATTACGACCCCCAAGAGCCACACTGTCCACAAAACACGTGACATCATCCCGTGATTCAACCTACAAATAAAAGAGGCTCAAGTGAGTGGTTATGTTTGATGGCATATTACGATTCCAGTTCTCGAGAAACGTTTTGTAAAGTATCATGCGTACGCACGCACACACCTGCACACCAGAGCTACCGGGAAATAGCCGAGAGGCAACCAGCTATTTAATTAATTAATGTAACATTAATTAATTAATGTAAGGATAAATGAATGAATTCCCTGACACATTCATCACCACTCACAGAAATACACTGCCACTGTGCAATGACTTAAAAGCGCAATACCGTCTGGGAGTACAGAGCAGGGCTCAATCAACACGGGTGGAAAGAATGAGTAAATGAATGAATGGAAGGATGAACAAGCAAGCAGCCTAAGAAAAGGGGCTAAACTTTACCATACCAGTTTATAATCACCTGCTCCTGCACTTCAAGCCTTCTTATATTTAAGCGTGCCTCTTCCCTGCCTACAGTCCCCAGTGAGTTAGAGACCCCAGAGCCAAACTACAGCTCCTATTGGACAACTATTCACAGAACGCAGTTCCAGGAATGCATGCTGGTTGACCAAAAGAAAAAAAGGACCCATTCTTTGTCAATGCTGTCTGGCAGCTTCTCCTAGCAGGCAGGAAGGCTGCTGGGAACACTAGTCAGAACAAAGTGATATGCTGTGCTAAGGGACAGTCAGACCATGAGACCTTTCCCTTCCTGCAGAGAATTAAGACAGAAAGTAGTGCTTGCCTCCGGATGGGCGGTTCGGACGAACGTGGGGGAAAGAAAGCTGTCGGCACACTTTCCACCGGTGAAGCCGACACTTTCTCTCCTCCCAGTCCTCCTCGAGCTCTGTTCAGCTCTCTCATTGCATGTGTCTGCGCCCCTCTGTCTGTGTCTGATCACTGAATTCACTGCACTAACTTTTTTAAAGATTTAGCTCCAAGAACAAAACTTTTCAAGGATAAAATCAATTCCCCACCTTCCTAGGTTCCCATAGAATCTGAAAGATTATAAAGGTCTAGGCTATGTAACTTACAGGCACAGAAAATTAAAAGATGACTAACATTAATGCATATTTGGGCCCTAGCTGGTGTGACTCAGTGGATTGAGCACCTGTGAACCGAAGGGTCACCAGTTCAGTTCCCAGACAGGGCACATGCCTGAGTTGCAGGTCACATCCCCAGTGTGGGGCATGCAAGAGGCAACCACACATTGATGTTTCTCTCCCTCTCTTTCTCCCTCCCTCCTCCTATGTCTAAAAAAAATAAGTAAATAAAATCTTTTTAAAAAAAATACATACTTGGTCTGGGAATGCAATTGCTGTTGCAGCCAGATTTTTTTTTAGCCGCACCAATGTCTCTGTTTTCCATTCCCTCCTATCTTTTTTAGATAACTGGGGTCATACCATGCATATTTATTCAAGATTTTCATTTCTCATCTTGAAAAAGCTTGACATCTATATCAGTATATAAATACATTTCTGATCTTTTCCAATGAATCATGGCATTTTGCAGTGTAGGTCAACTATAATTTCATAATCACCACCAGGCAATTTCATCATTGTGCAAACATCACAGAGTGCACTTACACGAGCCCACTACACACCCAGGCTACATGGTGTAGCCTGCTGCTCCCAGGGTGCAAGTCTGTACAGCATGTCGCTGTACAAAACAACACGAGATGACATCATGCATAAGAGAAAATGATGTAATCCAGAGAAGGGGTAAACACGAAATGTATGAGGCTGCTGCTGGGATAACACAGCATACTGTTTCACAGCAAACTTTTCAAATATCAATAGAAAGAGTGCACTCTAAAATAACAATAAAAAGCATAGTACAGTAAATGTCAATGCATAAACCAGGAACATAGTCGTTTGTTATCATCACTAAATTATGCACTACCCATAACTGTGTGTGCTGTACTTCTGTGTGACTAGCAGTGCAGTAGGTCTGTTTACACCGGCATCACCGCAAACACAGGAGTAATGTGTTGCGCTGTGACATTACAACGGCTGCCACGTCACTCAGTGATAGGAATTTTTCAGCTCCATTATAACCTTATGGGACCACCATCATATATGTGTTCCATTGTTGGTCCATCGTGTGGTCTGACTGAAATGTTGTATGGCACAGGACTGTCACTATTACAGTTATTAAGTTATAGGGGCTCTTTATGTACTCTGGAAATGGAAGATAGGTGTGTTAAAAATATCTTCTTCCACTCTGTGGTTTGCCTTTTCACTTTCTTAGTGGAATCTTTTAATAAACACACGTACTTAAATTTTCTATTGTTTTTAATAGTGATTTTTGTGACGTGTTTAAAAATTCTTTCTTACATTATCACAAAGATACTCATTATTATTTCCTAAAATCTTTACTGTTTTGCCTTTCATTTTAAGGCCTACAGTCTACCTGGAATTCATATTTGAGGAAGCAGACAGGATTATTTTTTTTTTCCAATTGAGCCAGCACCATTTTTAAAAAGATCATTCTGGGAAAACAATCAACAATATTACCTTTGCCAACGGCCACATGTTCTCGGGGGGTGGGTCTGTTTCAGTGCGTTCTGTTCTGATCTTTGTCTGTCCTTGTACCGGTAACACACTACATTAAATATATCTTAATATCCAAGAGAGTAAGTCCTTTCTCCTTACCTTCTTCAGGTGAGTCTTGGTTAGTCTGAGTCCTTTGCATATCCTTCTAAACTGCATAGTCAGTGTATCCGTTTCAAAAGCAAAACCTGCTTATTTTAATTGACAATGCCATGAATCTGTAAACCAATTTGGGAATTGTTGACATCATTACAATCTTAAATCTCCCAATCCTTGAACATGGCATATCCTTCCACTTATTTAAGATTTCTTTAATTTATCACAGTAACATTTTATGGTTTTCTGCACAGAGGCCTGGGGCATATTTTGTGAGATATATTCCCAAGCACTTGATACTTGTGAGTTTTGAAAAAGGTATTATGTATGTGACGTATATTGAGATGTGACATATACATCCATATGTATAAGTTTAGTTAAATTTTATATATTTACTTTGCATTGAGCAACCTTGATGAACTAACTTAGTAATTCCACAGTTTGTAGATTTTTTTTAAATTTCTGGATATACAATCATATCACCCAGATATAATGATCCTACTTCTTTTTTACAATCCTTATACTTTTTCAAAAAGATGTTGTTTATTAAGCCCTGGCTGACGTAGCTCAGTGGATTGAGCACGGGCTGTGAACCAAAGCATTGCAGGTTCAATTCCAAGTCAGGGCACATGACTGGGTTGCAGGCCACAGCCCCCAGCAATCACACATTGATGTTTCTCTCTCTCTCTCTTTCTCCCTCCCTTCCCTCTCTAAAAATAAATTAAATATTTTTTTAAAAAGGCAAGTTGTTTAAAAAAATAGATGTTGTTTATTTATTTTATAAAGAGGGGAAGGGGGAGAGAAAGATATTGGTGTGTGGTTGCCTCTCGCATGCCCCCTACTGGGGACCTGACCTGACCTGGCCCACAATCCAGGCATGTGCCCCGAATGGGAATCGAACCATCAAACCTTTGGTTTGCAGATTGGTGCTTAATCCACTGAGCCACACCAGCCAGGGCCCAATCTTTATACTTTTATTTAATTTTCTTGATTACTAAGTGTTGAATTTATCAAATCTCTTTTTTCTTCCTGCATCTATTGAGATAATAACAAGAATTTCCTCCTTTACCCTGTTAGTAAACACTGGTGATTGCATGAGTCAATTTTAGTGTTAAGACAATTTTGCATTTTTAGAATAAACCCCAATTTGTCTGGATATATTATTTTTGTATGTTGTTGGATTTTATTTACTCATATTTTGTTTAAAATGTCTGCACCCCCATTCAGAAGCTAATGTGCCCTGTCAGTTTTCTTTCCTTGGGCTGAATTCATTAATGCCACATTCCAAGCCTGCAGTTTTTGTCATTACAGTTTGTTCGTTTATCTTGTTTTCACGAAATACATTAAGTTGATCTATTGAACAGCTAAGCAATTATTCAAATGTTCTTCTTCTTTCAGTTTTGGTAAATTGTGTTTTTCAAGAAATTTATCATTTGGGTTTTTTTAAGTTATCAATACGATTATTTATAATATCTTCATCATTTTAATGCCTGCAGGACTATAGTAAATAGTCCTATATTAGTCCTTGGATGAGTTATCTGTGCCTGCTTTTTTGAATTATCTTGCAAGATATTTACCATTTTACTGGCATTCTAAAAGAAACCAACTTCTCATTTTATAGATCCTCTATTTTTCTATTTCATTCATTTCTATTTTTATATTACTGTTTCCTTCCTTCTGCTTTTTCTAGATGTCACTCTTTTGATTCTAGTTTCTTGAGGTACATATTTGCTCATTAACTTTCAGCCATTCTTTATTTCTAATATACCTATTTAAGGTACTAAATTTTCATCTACTCCTTGGTTTAGCTGTATCCTCCAGGTCACTTTCTCTTCTGTTCTTTCCATATTTTAGTGTTTTTCAAGTTTCAGTCTAGGTATTTTCTTCTGAGATGCTTCCTCATTAATTATTCCTTCTTCAGCCGTGTTCAACTACTGTCAAACCCATCATCCACTGCTTTTAACTTATTTCGTTATTGCAACTTTCATCTTTATAATTTGTATTTGGTTCTTTTTCGCTTCCACTTTGTTATTTTTTTATAGTTTCCAATTCTCTCCCAAAACTTTCAATGTTGTCTTTTAACACCTTGAGGACAGTAAGCATACTCTGACCAGCTGTAGCACTTTTGACAGCCATGAAGAACAGGAAGTTAAAGATTAAGGCCTGGGGCAGTCCCGATGAGACAAGCAAGGCTGAACTAGGGAAGACAAATCCTCATGGAGATCGCAGCACAGCTTTGACTTATCTGGACGGCTCAGACAATTTTAAACTCCGAAAATGGAGTAACCTGACTTCTGGAACGCTAGTGCTCATGGGTACCTGCTGGAGCAAAGGGAATGTTCCTCCAGAAGAGAGCATCACCCTAGGCCTCAAATGCCTGTCTACAATTTCCCAGATACAATGTTCAGTGCAAATAAAAAAGCAACCAGTTGATAAAGGAAAAAAGATAATAAGTATGAGGAGAGTAGAAACAGGAGACAATGGAAACTAACCCATAAAGACTATTGACCTAGTATTGTACCTACCTCTAAAATCAACAGAATTAAGATGAGATGGCCATTGCTGTTTGGTACTATATTTATTCTATTGTCATTCTGGTTAATCAGTTACTGAAAAAAAATATACTTAGTATAACTGTACCGGGCAACCAAAATCATTTGATGTGTTCCACTTTGTAATACATAGCACAGAGCTCAAGAAATGTATACTAGTTTTTGGCTAAGATTGAAGGTTGAATACATCTATTTTCTACTACTATTTTCACTAGTAGAAAATTTATAAGAACATAGATTTTGGGCTATTTCATACAAATACTATGTGGTACTGATACCACGGTGAGTTTTCAACAATAATAATTATTGATGATGCTAAAACTACAGTAAACAATGTGCCACTTAAGATCAGAGTTACTTCCTCAATACGTTACAGCACTGGGACAGAGAAACCCTCTGTGGAAGACACTGGGGAAGGGGAAGGTGATGACTCAGGTCAGACTGCGTGGAGTTATGTCCAAACGAGGGATGGGCGTCTGGACAAAGTATGATAACCATCTGCTTGAACTCAGGAAGCAGACAGGGTAGTGAGGAATTATTCATCCAAGACCGAGGAGAGGACGGAAGTCTGAGAAAACAGCCTGGTATTAGAGGTGAGTTATGCTGCAAACATTTGCTGATCCAGGATAGGCAGGAAGTGAAACCCTGTGGCCCACAGGGAAACCGCAACCAGATACATTAGGGTTAGGGCTGTGAAGTCTGGGTGAAGCAGGAGGGGAGGAGAAGCTCATGGCCCAGTGCAGAGCACAGCACTGAAAGTGAACTCTCCATAAAGCCATGCACAGAAAAAAGGCTGCACCTTATGGGAACAGGGACCTAAAAAATCTCTGCCCTCTGACCCAGAGTCTCAACCTGGCTGGAAGCCAGCCTACTAGAACTCCCCTGTAGGAAACCAGAACCCCATGCTGGCCATATAGGCTGATGCGGATCCAAATATTAAAACATACAACAACTAAAACTATTTCAAAATTGAAGAAAAATGTCAGATTACAAATGTATATGAAAGAAAGAAAGAGAAGAAATTTCTCACCTAGCCCCAAAACGATGAAATATCTTCAAAGGGCTGAGAAAACATACTTGTCCATCTTATACCAGCAATTTTCAACCTTTTCATTTCATGGCACAGGTAAACTAATTACTAGCATTCTGCAGCACATCAAATACACACACACACACACACACACACACACATTTTGCCGATCTCACCAAAAAATATGTATAATTTTGATTCATTCACATCGGACAGCCATTGTTGTGTTGGCTGTTGTCATTTTTTTTATTTGGCAATCTAAGGGAAACGGTCAATATCTCTGACTAAACAGTCAGGTACTGCATGTTTTAAAAATTCTTGTGGCACACCGGTTGAAAATTGCCGTCCTAGACATCTATACACATTTAAATGATCATTCAAGAGCAAAGGCAAGAGAGATATTTTTGGACATTCAAAAATTAAAAGAGGATTTTTATGCCCAGACTCTCATTGGAAGAAGTGCCCCAAAACATGTTCTTTAGCAATATGAAAAATGAACTTGGTAAGAACAGGCTGCAAGAAGAAAACTTGAATTTTTTTTTGACAGTGCACTCTTGACTTCATCTTTATCTTTTTTAAGTATATCTTATTGATTATGTTATTACACTTGCCCCAAATTTTCCCCCTTGCTCCCCCCTGCCCAGTACCCCACTTCCCTCCAGCAATGCCCCCCTTAGTTCATGTCCGTGGGTCATACATGTAAGTTCTTTGGCTTCTCCATTTCCTATACTAGTCTTCTCATCCCCCCTGTCTATTTTGTACCTACCAATTATGCACTCAGAAATTCAGATGTGGCTTTTCATTATGGGGGAAAAGTAATGGAAATTGTGAGTGATATCATGGGGAAAATATTTTTTTACAAACAAGCCTACTATTTGGAAGAAGTAAATACAACTTATATTTACTAAAAGATCCCTATAAGGAAATCACACCCAAGATGCAATATATAATAAATCATGCTCATTCAGGTTAATCAAAACAAGATATTTAACCAGCCAAGCCAAATTCTTTTTAAGAAATGCAAAAGAGCCCTGGCTGGTGTACCTCAGTGGATTGAGTGTGGGCTGTGAACCAAAGGGTCGCCAGTTCGATTCCCAGTCAGGGTACACACCTGGTTTGCGGACCAGGTCCCCAGTGGGGGACACGTGAGAGGCAACCACACATTGATACTTCTCTCCCTCTCTTTCTCCCTCCCTCCCCCTCTCCAAAAATAAATAAAATCTTTAAAAATAAAGAAATAAAAAATAAAATAAATAAACAAATGCAAAAGATTAACTGATAGCTTAGAAACCTCCAAAACATGCTGTCAAGTTCTGACATTATAACAGGTGTAAAAGATGCAAATGTTCTGTGCTTAAAACAGGAAGAAACTTAAAATATTAGTGAATAAGTCATTTTCAAATAGTCACCATGGTTGCCATTTCCCTTTTTTTTTGGTGTCTAATTTCAAGTCAGGCACCCTACCTACCAGATGCTTTCTGGTCCAGATCTGAATTAGTAAAGTGCAGATAAGACCTTCTGCAAGATTTGTACCGTCTCAGATTTAAATTTTCTCTCTCTCTCCCTCTCTCTCCTTCTCTCCCCACGTCCCACCCCCACGGAGAAAAACACTATCCTGGCTTGCACCTAAGTTCCAAACACAAGTTCTCATTTGCAGAAGTTGAAGAAGTTAAAAGTCAAAGCATTCTGATTTTAAAACGTCGTCTCTGCTGAATGCTCTATGTTATGTTCTAAACAGAACTGATTAGATACCACCCTGTCTGACACCACTCAGATACTCTAAGGATTAAAGGAACTGAAGACGGGCGCGCGAGGGCGAGCTTCAGGACCATCCCCAAGCAGAGGCCAGGCTCGGGTTGGGGAATGAGAATCCTGAACCGTCCCTACTTCTAAGCCCCTGTGACCAAAATCCGACCTTGACAAGCTGGGTCCGGGCGGTAACCAGCACGCGCAGACACACCCCCAGCAGGATGCACAGGTGCAACCTCGAAAGCTTTTCCGTGGTTCCCCTCCCGGACCCGCTCAGAGTAAACGGTGCCGAGGCGGAGGCGAGGGCACACAGAGCGCGGCCTTTGGGGAACCGGGAAGTCCCAGCCCAGGGCCGGGGTCACCGGCCACCTCGGCCCCGGGGGACGCGGCTGCCCGCAACCCTGGAGCCAAAGGAAGCTCCCGGGCGGCTCCAAGTCACCGAAGGGCGCTCGCCCAAGCCTCTGCTGTGCCCCGTCCCTTTCCGAGTGTCCCCTGCCCCTCCCGAGGGCTGACCTCCGCGTGGACTTGGCGTGTTCACTCCGCGGAGCCGTGCAGAGTGGGGCCGAGGGGCGTCGAGGTCCTCGGGGGTCGATGCACCCCCAACCCCTCGGACCCGGACCTGAGCCGCCTGGCCGGGGTCCCAGGTGCAGCCGAGTGAGAAGCTGGGGACCGGCTCCCCCGCGCCCATCAGGGAGCCACGTCTCCCCTCCGCCCCTGCCCCGCGCCCACCAGAACGCCCGACGTACCAGGGGGACACGGAGTCGCCACCAGGTGCCTCGCGACCGGCCCCGCCGGCCGCAGGAGGAAAGTGAGGGGAAATTGCGCGCAGCGGGGCGTCCCCTGCTTTCGGGGCCCGGGAGCCGCCGGGCCCGCCCAGCGCGGGAGGCGTGCCCACCTCGGCACCAGCGCCTGGAGGCTGCGCCAGGCCCGCCGCGTCCGCCTTTCCGGGCAGGCTCCGTCAGGTGACCGTGACCGAGACCGTGACCGCGGTCCTGACCAGCAGGAGGAGGGCCAGATCGGTGTGCTCGGGTCCTGCCCCGACCCCGAGCTGGTGCGGGCCGGGATCTGCGGGCAGCGCTGGGGGCTGGCTGGGGGTCGCGGGGCAGGAAAAAGAACCAAGATGCTAGAAGCCCCCTGGTGGGATTTTCCAAAGCACTGGGGAAGATTTCGCAACCCAAGAGAAGGCTGATTACTCAACCAGCATTTTCTTGAGGCTTCAGGCATCCAAGCCTCACATTACCCTGAAACACACCATCCTGATACTCCACGTCTCCATTCTTTTCCATCCTTGGAAGCCGGAATTCAGGCTTGTGAATCCTATTTCGCATTCTTCCCTGCCTTTTCAACACTTAATACGGTCTCCAGGGTCCACGTGCACCCGCAAGTCTATGCTCTCCAGATCAATACAGCGAGGTTTTGCCTGGGGAGCAGGTAAGGACAGTCCCAGGTCTGATGTTTGGGGTTTGTTTGTTTGTTTTCCACCCCTCGCCCTGTGGAGGTCCCTGGAGCTGCACCGTCTCGAGCGCCCGCATCCCATCCCTAGTCTCCCCTAAAGAGATGGGCGGAGCCACAGGCAGCTGAGATGTTGAACCTGAGCCCTTCCAATCCTTCCCTTGCTCCATCCCATCCCTATTTCGCAAGGTAATTGCAAAAACAGTCATAGGCTGGCTTTCTTCAGTGCCACAGAAACTAGTTTGTCTCAGGCAGTGAGGAATGTTTTACAAGGGAAATAAACCAATACCTTTAAAAAAAAATTCAACAGCCTTAATATGAATAAAGTACATTTGATCTTCATAATTACATTTGATCTTTACAAATCGGGACTGGAGGCCGAAGGAGCATTCTCGCGCCTCTTTTACACGGGGAACCGAGATGTGAAACCAGAATTTTAGCCTAAATCCAGGTTCTTTCTCTTTCCCTATTCCACATGCCCAGTTCTCATCAGTGGTTCAAACATCAGGCAAACTTAATCAACAGGCATGAATGTGAACTTGAGAGGATGGGGTCTGATTGTCCACACAGCTTCCTGAATGTGTGGATATTTCTATCCTTGACCCTCCATGCTCTCAGCTGCCTGAAAAGACTTTCTTCTTATTAGTTCAAATTCTCCACCTCTCTTCCTCACGAGGAAACCTCCACCTCTCTGCCGCATGTGTACTTGAGAAAACTTCCCTCCAGCTTTCCCCCCTGAAACTAAAAACCTCTCTTCTTTCTCTGGTTGAACTGTACGGATTCACTGTGGTGTTATTGTAATTGTTATTGTTATTGTTATTGTTATTGTTATTGTAATCCCAAAGTCTATGAGAATATTCTGGCAAAGTCAGGTTGAAATTGTTTATCTACCCACAAGGGTCATGAAGGTTATTCTACACTCAGCAAAATTATAAGCATGTTCTTGTGTTCTACTTGGGGACAGTTCAGTGTTTAATGTTTTCAAGGCATTTTCGCATATATTTTTAAACACATGAAATAAATAGTTCTGATATAATAACACCTTCAGTTCAAGTTGCGTTCATATGAAAAGCAGTGTTTTTCACTTACAAACATTTTGGAAACTTGAAAGATCAATCAAATCCTCTCAGAGTCAAACTGACTGCTTCGTATGCAGGCAAAAGTTACAAACTCCCAATTAGAAGTTCAACAATTCTGGGAATGGAATGGAAACCATGGTGACGTAGTTAACAACAGTCTGCTGGGTATTTGCAATTTGCTAAGAGAGTAGATCTTAAAAGTTCTCATCGCCCTGGCTGGCGTAGCTCAGTGGATTGAGCGCTTGCTGCATAAACCAAAGTGTTGTAGGTTCGACTCCCAGCCAGGGTACATGACTGGGTTTTAGGCCATAACCCCCAGCAACCCCACATTGATGTTTCTCTTTCTATCTGCCTCCCTTCCCTCTCTAAAAATTAATAAATAAAATCTTAAAAAAAAGTTCTCATCACAAAAAAAATATTGTAACTACGTGAGGTGATAGATGTTAAATCATTGGGATATTATTTCATAATATATACATATATTAAATTATTGCATAAATCATTACATAATATATACATATATTAAATAATTACATTGTATTAAGTTAATACAATGATATATATTAATTACATCTTAACAAAACTGGGACAACCCCCGCACTGAGATGGCCCTACTCTAGAATGGCTCACCTGAATGGCTAAAACTAAAGAATGATGGCACCAACCCACCAACCGCTGGCAAGGATGTAGAACACCTGGATCTCTCCTACACTGCTGGTGGGAATGCGAAATGCTTCACCCATGTTGGGAAAGTTTGAAAGTTTCTTATAAAATTAAACATGCACTTACTCTGTGACCCAGCAATCCCACTCCTAGATATTTGCCCTCAAGGTATGGAAACGTAAGCCCACACGAAGGAAGGTACTTTAGTCGGAGCTAGAAACAACTGAAATACCTATCACCTGGCGAATAGATCACTTTATATCCACGCAATTGAATGCTACTCAGCAATAGAAATGCAGAACTACCGATATGTGCATGATCATGGAGGGATCTCAAAAGCAAAATGCGAAGTGAGAGAAGTCAGACACAAACAAATACACATGGCAGAATCCATTTACATGAAGTGCTACACAAAGCAAAACTGTGACAGAAAGTGGAGACACCAGGGAGCCGAGTGGGGTGGTGGAAGGGGCTGCTGACCTCAAAGGAGAGTGACTTTGGGGGGTGATGGAAATGTTCTGGATCGTGACAGGGGGCTGGCTAATTACATGACCGTGTGTCTTTGTCAAACCTCATCCAATTATGTTTTTTAGATTGATACATTTTATTGTATAGAAGTTATCTCTATAAAACTGATTTTTAAAAAATCCTCCTTTGTGCAGAAGCCAAGGATAGATAGTTCTGGCCTCCAAAAGAGAGGAGCTAGCCCCTTGCCAGCCCTCTGAGAAAAGGCAGGAGAAAACACCGAATTCTGTAGCAGGCCATCCTGCCTCAGTATCAAACCTCCGCCTTTAACTTAATAAGTTCACACTGATTTCTCTCACTTGCAACCAGGAGAGCTCTAAGATATTTCTTGGTGGCAAGAAAATTAAGTTTTTAATTCAGGAAGTCCAAACTACCTGAGTTTGAACCCTAGTGTCATAAAATCCTCTACTATCATATTGGGATGGTTTTATCCCTTCTGGCATACTCATTTGCAGCTTGTCTTCTTCCTAATATCACTCACAGCACTTCGGAGCAACTCATCACCCAACTTCCACAGAGTCCATTTGAGGAGTAAACTCTAAATTCATCGTACTGTACTGATTTAAGAAAGGAAGGCGTCCTAGCAGAATGATCTTCATATTTATTCTTAGAGAGAGAGAGAGAGTAACCAAAACTTCTCAGAGTAAAATGGACTGTTTTATATGTCAGCCCAAGTTACTGATCTTCTACATCGATTTCAGGCTTCTTGGGGATTTGAAGCATCAGTCAATCTTAAGTTAATTCAGAAGGGAAATCCATCAAGTCTGGGGTTTTTTTGTTTTGTTTTGTTTTGTTTTAATTTTATTAGTTTTTTTAGAGAGAGGAACGGGGGCGGGGAGAGGGAGAGAAAGAAACATCAACTTGCCACTCCATCCATCGGTGCACTCATTGGCTGACTCCTAGATGTGCCCGGACCAGGAACCAAACCCACAACCTTGGCATATGGGGATGTGCTCCAACCAACTCTGCTACCTGGCCAGGGAATGCTCATTTTAAAAAATTGTAGAATTTGTAAATACTTCAGGAATCTAAAATTGGGAAAGCGGGAAAAGAAAGAAAGAGACTCTTCCTCAAGTGCTTTACTGGACTGTCCCGGAAGCAAAGGGCCAAACCAGGAGGAGGATGTGTTCTGTAAGTTAGTGTACGACAGGTCTGGATATACCTGGGACCTTATGGACAAGGCAAATATTTTCCATCCGTTGCAAGAATTCTACTAGAAAATAGAAAGGGAGCTTCCAAGTTTACACACATCTGCTGAATGTGGCAGAATGTGCATTTCAAGAGGCTCTGAGCTTTGTTCCCCTTTTTGCAGTGATGCATCTCTGTTCCCTGAAACACAGTCAGCACCAACCAAGGAAGGCTGGCTGAGGGGTGAATTGACACATCTTTTCGGAGTATTGGCTGGGTCTGAAGGAGTAGAGCGTAAACATCTGATGTGGCAATTGCAGACACACAGAGGGAAGTAAGGGACAGGATTCTGACCAGTGCTTCCTCACCCTGACTTCCTGCCCTTGCCACGCAAGAGCTGACGGCAGTTAAACATGGGAATGAAGAAATAACCGTGCATGACTTCCAATCGTGTAGTCGGGCAAAACCATGGGTGAGCAACTGGTATCATTTTAATGTCTGTAAGGATTGTGTGGCTTCGTCAGGCAGAAGGAATACAAAAAGAAGTCAGAATTTTATCAAGCTCAGCACTCTTTGGAGATTCTGGGAAAGCAAATTGACATATCTTAAGAATCAAATAACAGCTAAATCCAATCATGGGGCATGGGAGTGTGGGTAGGGGTTGCCAACTATTACATGGATGGAAAAACTGAGATCACAATGACTCAAGCCCAGGGACATGAGCTATGTGACCAGTGCCTTCTTTGGGTTCAGTCCCTGGTGTAAAGCGTAACTAGGGTTCAGTGTGAACCAGTCAGGGTCACAGACAAGAACATTGCCACCTCCCTGGCCAACATCAGTGGTCAACTAAGAA